CACATTCATCTAATATGAAATCTCTGTTAAACTGAGAAAATTCTCCAGTTTTTACATCCATGTCAAATACACAGCTTGATTAAAACGTTAAGTCATTTTTTTTTCATTTTGTTCTTCTGCTGCTGTTGATACCTGTTCTTGTACTCGCTCCCCTCATCCTCCTTGTTCTTCTGGTTCTTCCTCCTCCTCATCCTTTTTTCTGCTTTACGTTTGAAAACACAAAGAAATGTCAAGATAAGACGCACATAGACAGAATCATGTGAAATTTTACAACACAGAACATTTTAAATACTTCCACACATAAACATGTGAAATATTTTCACACAGAATCATGTGAAAAATAACACATAGAAACATCTGAGATATTACCATAGAAACATGATAAATATTACCACACACAAAGATATATATATATAAATATCACCAGACATAAACATGTTAAAAGTTATCAGACATAAACATGTTAAATATTACCAGACATAAACATGTTAAATGTTACCGTACAAAAACATGTTAATGTTACCAGACTTAAACATATTAAATGTTACCAGACAAAAACATGTTTAATGTTACCAGACAAAAACATGTTAAATGTTACCACAAAGAAACACCGGAAACAAAAACCAGTCTGTGAGATTTATTAGAAATCGTTTAGCCGTGAAACACACACACCAGTCTCTACATGGAGTCTAGGGTCTTGTTTGTGGTGGTCGTTGTGGCTGCTGTTGTAGTTGTTGTTATGATTGCACACGTGCTTTTTGTTGTACAGCCGGTGACTTGGTGTCCGACGTCGTCTCCGGCTACACCTAGAGTTTAAAATATAATTGTTACAGATGTGTTTTTACATCAGAGAATGTATGCACTGTATATGTGCAGAACACACTTGTAGCTACGAAAACAGATGGTATACATAGGAAAAACACTGTCGCCACAATATAAACAGTTGTATCTGTAGGGAAAACACTGTCGCCACAATATAAACAGTTGTATCTGTAGGGAAAACACTGTCGCCACAATATAAACAGTTGTATCTGTAGGGAAAACACTGTCGCCACAATATAAACAGTTGTATCTGTAGGGAAAACACTGTCGCCACAATATAAACAGTTGTATCTGTAGGGAAAACACTGTCGCCACAATATAAACAGTTGTATCTGTAGGGAAAACACTGTCGCCACAATATAAACAGTTGTATCTGTAGGGAAAACACTGTCGCCACAATATAAACAGTTGTATCTGTAGGGAAAACACTGTCGCCACAATATAAACAGTTGTATCTGTAGGGAAAACACTGTCGCCACAATATAAACAGTTGTATCTGTAGGGAAAACACTGTCGCCACAATATAAACAGTTGTATCTGTAGGGAAAACACTTGTAGCCATGACAAATGTTGCACACGTAGGGAAGCACTGGTTGTCATGAAGAAATTTTGCACACGTAGGAAAGCACTGGTTGTCATGAAGAAATTTTGCACACGTAGGGAAGCACTGGTTGTCATAAAGAAATGTTGCATATGTAGAGAATACACGGTAGTAATTAGGAAAGGTTACACGTAAAGGGAAACCACTCACAAACACATACACACGCGCAGGCAGGGAAACACACACACACAGACACACACATAGACATACGCAACACTCACACATACACACATACACAGATACACACATAGACACGCACACAGTCACACACGCAGACTCACATTCGCACACAAACTTACACGCATACACATAAACCGTCTCAGATACATACGCACACGCAGACATTATATAACAGCCACACCGATAGAGACACACACAGATACACACAAAGCTACACAAACATACACTCACAGCAAAGACAGACACAGATACACACACAGCCACACACACAGACACATAATGGCTCACACACACAGACACATACATAAAAATACACACGCGCAGACGCACAGATATACACACATTTTCAAAAAGACACACATACAGATACACATAAAGCCATACACGCAGAGAAACACACAGACATTATTTAATAAACACACCCATAGATACTCACACAGATACACACAAAGCCACACACACAGACACGCACAGCCATAGACAGACACATATATACATGCAGCCACAAACACAGACACACATACAGACACATAATGGCACACACACACACACGCACTGACACACATAGACACACAGAGAGACATACACACACATATTAACGCACCAAAAAACACCCAAATACTCACACAGACACACACACGCAGACGAACACACACACACAGACACACGAACACATTATAAAAAAGACGAACACACAAATACACACTAAGCCACACATAGAGACAAACACACAGACACACACAGGCATAGACACACAGACACACACGCAAAAACCCTAAGACACATACATAGATACACACAGATAGACAGACACACACACACAAACACGCAGCCACACCCTTACATATACACATACAAACACACACCCACAGAAACATACTCAGCCACATATACAGATACACATACAAAAACACACACAGAGAAACACACCCACAGACACATACATATGCACATAAAAACACGCATATAGACGAACCAATACAGAGACACGAACACAGACACACCTACAGACACGCACGCAGACACCATAAAGACTCACACACAGATACACTCACAGACACACGCCTACACACAGAGACATACACTAACACACATACAGACCCGCAAAGACATACACACACACTTATACAGTTACCGATACATACACTCATACGTACACAGAATCATACATACACAAACACGACTACACATGCATGCATGTCACACATATACGCATACATACATATCATACACACAGTACTTAATGATAAACTTGTAATACATTGTGGATTATTAACTACTTTTAAGGTGGCGTATAATCACTGGTAATCTTGAAATGAAAGGGTTTGCGGTTAAATGAGTTTTTGGGTAGTTTTTAGATCGAGTAGAAGATGGTTCCATAGATGAGCAGCAGAATATGCTAAACTTGTTTTAAATAAATCAATTTTGGGTTTAGGCAAATGTAATAAACTTATTCGCTTGCTATTCTTAGGATTAGATGGAATCAATCGGTGGATGTAATTTGTAGTATCTTTAGATACACTGGTAGTCATGAAGTAAGGTTACGCACGGAGGGAAAAAACTAGGAGCCAGGAAGAAAGGTCACATAGGAAAAACACTGTAGACACAACACGAAAGTTTGCACTTGTAGGGAAAACAGTTGTAGCTATTAAGAAAGGTAGCCAAGTAGGGAAAACACTGATAGCTATAAATAAAGATTGCCACGTAGGGAAAACACTGGTAGCTATAAAGAAATGTTGCACACCTAGGTAAAAACCTAGTAGCCATCGAAAAAGGTTGCACACTTAGGGAAAACACTGAAAGCTATAAGGAAAGGTTGCAAACGTCAGGAAAACACTGTAGCCACAACACAATCGGCTGGACACCTAGTGAGAGCACTAGTAGCCATGCATCAATGCTGCAAACATCGGGAAAACACTGTAGCCGCAACACAAACGGTTGGACACATAGTGAGAGCACTAGTAGCCAAGCATCAAGGTTGCAAACGTCAGGAAAACACTGTAGCAGCAACACAATCGGTTGCACACTTAGGAAAACACGGGTATCTATGAAGAAAGTTTGCGCATATATGGAAAACATGGTAGATACAGAACGAAAGATTGCCCTACTCACCGTTGGGTATGCGGTTGTTGCTGTTGTTTCACTGCTCACAGTTGGATATGTGGTTGTTGTTGTTGTTTCACTGCTAACCGATGGATAAGTGGTTGTTGCTGTTGTTTCACTGCTAACCGATGGATAAGTGGTTGTTGCTGTTGTGTCACTGCTTACCGTTGGGTATGTGGTTGTAGTTGTTTCACTGCTCACCGTTGGGTATATGGTTGTTGCTGTTGTTTCACTGCTCACCGTTGGGTATGTGGTTGTTGTTACACAAGTGCCGTTACTGACAATGGTGACCTGACTGTAAGGTGACCCGCGGCAGTTGCTGACTCTCAGCTCACAGGCGTTGCCATAAGTCTGTCCGTCAGATGCACAGACTGGGTCGTAGATTCTGGTGCATACAAGAGAACATTCTCCGGGCGGGGGAGTTGGTACAGTCTGAGAGGTATAATTGTGAAAGTGGGTTAGATATAGTCTGAGAGGTACAATAATATAATGCTCCGTACGTACAGTACGAGAGGTACAATTGTAAAATATAGGTCAGGTACAGTCTGAGAGGTAAAATTATGAAATGGTAGTTAGGTACAGTATGGGAAGTACAATTATAACGTGGGGGTTCAGTACAGTCTGAAAGGTACAGTTATAAAATTTGAGTTAGGTACAGTATGGGAGGCACAACTATAAAATATGGGTTCGGTACAGTCTGTAAGGTACAGTTATAAAATTTGAGTTAGGTACAGTATGGGAGGCACAACTATAAAATATGGGTTCGGTACAGTCTGTAAGGTACAGTTATAAAATTTGAGTTAGGTACAGTATGGGAGGCACAATTGTAAAATATGGGTTCGGTACAGTCCGAAAGGTACAGTTATAAAATTTGAGTTGTGTACAGTCTAAGAAATACATTTGTAAAATGCGGGTCTAGTGCAGAACAATTATTATGAATAATAGAAAAACCAGACAGAAGACATACAAAAAGCATGTATATTCATACTCCTATTGAAACACAGTGAACAATCCAAGCACAGAGTTATAGGTTATATTTCTATGTCCTCCGTTATCCTCTACGAAATGAAAACGTTTGATTTTTTCAAATGCAGTTTCAAACAATTAAACTGCGGCCTCAAAGAAACAATAGGCAAAAAGATATTTTCCCCTTCCCTCATAAGCCATGTGACACAACAGAAGCTCACCCTGACAACACATAACTTGACGGCTGGCGGGACTACATACCGCTAGATATAGGGTGCCGGTACGGCTGTCACAGGTTCCATTGCTGACTATTGTCACCTGCTGGTACGGGGACCTTTCACAGTTGGAAGCTCTCAGCACACAAGAATTGCTGTAGTTTCTGCCATCAGATCCACAGACGGGGTCAAAGATCCTAGGACAGCCCAGTGGGCAGACTTCGGGCTCTGGGACAGGCTCTGTCTGAGATGTATCAATGTGTCGATATGGCAAGTTTTATCAATGTGTCGACATGGCAAGTTTTATCAATGTGTCGATATGGCAAGTTTTATCAATGTGTCGACATGGCAAGTCTTATCAATGTGTCGACATGGCAAGTTTTATTAATGTGTCGACATGGCAAGTTTTATCAATGTGTCGACATGGCAAGTTTTATCAATGTATCGACATGGCAAGTTTTATCAATGTGTCGACATGGCAAGTTTTATCAATGTGTCGACATGGCAAGTTTTATCAATGTGTCGACATGGCAAGTTTTATCAATGTGTCGACATGGCAAGTTTTATCAATGTGTCGACATCGCAAGTTTTATCAAAGTGTCGACATGGCAAGTTTTATCAATGAGTCGACATGGCAAGTTTTATCAATGTGTCGACATGGCAAGTTTTATCAATGTGTCGACATGGCAAGTTTTATCAATGTGTCGACATGGCAAGTTTTATCAATGTGTCGACATGGCAAGTTTTATCAATGTGTCGACATGGCAAGTTTTATCAATGTGTCGATATGGCAAGTTAACTTTGGTTCTTGTGATCATGAAAACATCGATCCAACATGCTAAAGCGTGTAGGCATAGATGTGACAGTGCATTGAGACAAGACATGCGTGAGACAGAACATTGCACGGGAACATGGGTGAGACAGAACATTGCAGCAAGACATGGATGAGTCAGAACATTGCACGGGAACATGGGTAAGACAGAACGTTGCAGCAAGATATGGGTAAGACATAACTTTTCACGAAGACAAGGGTGAGACAGAACGCAACGACAAGACATGGATAAGATTGAAAATTGCATAGAAAAATCGATGAGGCAGAACATCATAGAGATATGAGTGGGGCAAAAAATGAAAGAGAGACACAGAGAGACAGAGAGACAGAGAGAGAGAGAGAGAGAGATATCGAAAGAGACAGAGACAGAGAGAAAGAGACAGAGAGAGACAGAGAGAGACAGAAAGAGAGAGAGAGAAGAGATAGAGAGAGACAGAGAGATAAAGAAAGAGACAGAGAGAGATAGAAAAAGACAGAAAGAGAGAGAGAGAGAGAGAGAGAGAGAGAGAGAGAGAGAGAGAGAGAGAGAGAGAGGGTCAGAGAGAGAGAAAGAGAGAGATAAAGAAATAGAAAGAGATGGACGGAAATATCTGTGTGTCATGAAACTTAAACAATTATTAATATCATGGATTAAGCACGAACACACAAAAATGGATATTAGGAACTGATACATGTATGAGTTTCAGACATTCATGTTCAGACATTCATGTTCAGACATTCATGTTCATACATTCATGTTCAGACATTCATGTTCATACATTCATGTTCAGACATTCATGTTCAGACATTCATGTTCAGACATTCATGTTCAGACATTCATGTTCAGACATTCATGTTCAGACATTCATGTTCAGACATTCATGTTCAGACATTCATGTTCAGACATTCATGTTCAAACATTCATGTTCAAACATTCATGTTCAAACATTCATGTTCAGACATTCATGTTCATACATTCATGTTCAAACATTCATGTTCATACATTCATGTTCATACATTCATGTTCATACATTCATTTTCAGACATTCATGTTCAAACATTCATGTTCAGACATTCATGTTCAGACATTCATGTTCAGACATTCATGTTTAGACATTCATGTTCAAACATTCATGTTCAGACATTCATGTTCAGACATTCATGTTCAGACATTCATGTTTAGACATTCATGTTCAAACATTCATGTTCATACATTCATGTTCATACATTCATGTTCATACATTCATTTTCAGACATTCATGTTCAAACATTCATGTTCAGACATTCATGTTCAGACATTCATGTTCAGACATTCATGTTTAGACATTCATGTTCAAACATTCATGTTCAGACATTCATGTTCAGACATTCATGTTCAGACATTCATGTTTAGACATTCATGTTCAGACATTCATGTTCAGACATTCATGTTCAGACATTCATGTTCAGACATTCATGTTCAGACATTCATGTTCAGACATTCATGTTCAGACATTCATGTTCAGACATTCATGTTCAGACATTCATGTATGTCCAGACATTCATGTTCAGACATTCATGTTCAGACATTTATGTCCAGACATTCATGTTCAGACATTCATGTTCAGACATTCATGTTCATACATTCATGTTCAGACATTCATGTTCATACATTTATGTTCAGACATTCATGTTCAGACATTCATGTTCAGACATTCATGTTCAGACATTCATGTTCAGACATTCATGTTCAGACATTCATGTTCAGACATTCATGTTCAGACATTCATGTTCAACATTCATGTTCAGACATTCATGTTCATACATTCATGTTCAATCGTTCATGTTCATACATTCATGTTCATACATTCATGTTCATACATTCATTTTCAGACATTCATGTTCAAACATTCATGTTCAGACATTCATGTTCAGACATTCATGTTCAGACATTCATGTTTAGACATTCATGTTCAAACATTCATGTTCAGACATTCATGTTCAGACATTCATGTTCAGACATTCATGTTCAGACATTCATGTTCAGACATTCATGTTCAGACATTCATTTTCAGACATTCATTTTCAGACATTCATGTTCAGACATTCATGTTCAGACATTCATGTCCAGACATTCATGTTCAGACATTCAGGTATCCACAGATTATGTTTTCACATTTTTTAATATTCAACGGTTCACTGTTCAGTATCACCTGGAATAGTTTAAATACAAGTTTGTTTGTTTGTTTGTTTGTATGCTCTCGTTTTGAAAGACAGAATGGAAAAGACAGACGTTAAGAAGATAAGAAAAACTTCACAAAGATCATCACTAAATCAGATAGACATATTTATGGACAATGCACTTTTGGGTATGTGGTTGTTGTTGTTTCACTGCTTATCCTTGGGTATGTGGTTGTTGCTGTTGTTTCACTGCTTACCGTTGGGTATGTGGTTGTTGCTGTTGTTTCACTGCTCATCTTTGGGTATATGGTTGTTACTGTTGTTTCACTGCTCACCTTTGGGTATATGGTTGTTGCTGTTGTTTCACTGCTCACCTTTGGGTATATGGTTGTTGCTGTTGTTTCACTGTCCCCTTTGGGGGTATATGTTGTTGCACTGCTCACCTTTGGGTATATGGTTGTTGCTGTTGTTTCACTGCTCACCTTTGGGTATATGGTTGTTGCTGTTGTTTCACTGCTCACCGTTGGATATGTGGTTGTTGCTGTTGTTTCACTGCTCACAGTTGGGTATGTGGTTGTTGCTGTTGTTTCACTGCTAACCGTTGGATATGTGGTTGTTGTTACACAAGTGCCGTTACTAACAATGGTGACCTGACTGTAAGGTGACCCGCGGCAGTTGCTGACTCTCAGCTCACACGCGTTGCCAAAAGTCTGTCCGTCAGATGCACAGACTGGGTCGTAGATTCTGGTGCATACAAAAGAACATTCTCCGGGCGGGGGAGTTGGTACAGCCTGTGAGGTACAATTAGGAAATGTGGGTTAGATACAGTCTGAAAGGCACAATTGCAAAATGTGGGTTAGATACAGTCTGATAGGTACAACTGTAAAATGTAAGTAAGGGAGATTATGAAAAGTACAGTTGTAAAATGTGGGTTAGGTACAGTCTGAAAGGTACAGTTGTAAAATGTGAGTTAGGGAGAGTCTGAAAGGTACAGTTGTAACATGTGGGTTAGTTGCAGTCTGACAGGTACAATTGTAAAATGTGGGTTAGGGAGAGTATGAAAGGTACAATTGTAAAATGTAGGTTAGGTACAGTCTGAAAGGTATAATTGTAAAATGTGGGTTAGGTACAGTCTGAGAGGTACAATTGTAAAATGTTAGTTAGGTACAGTCTGAGAGGTACAGCTGTAAAATTTGGGTTAGCTACAAACTGAAAGGTACAGTTGTAAAATGTTGATTAGGTACACTCTGAAATGTACAGTTGTAAAATGTGGCTTTAGTAAATAATGAACACAGAAATAAACATATCAAATTTTTGGCATAGATATTTGCATGTCTATCAACCTTTTGAATATCTATTTATTTTTTAATAATATTTAAATAAAGGATTATAGGGTTTATAATTAATATTTATAATGGGATCTAAAGCTGTAAAATAGGGATATGGTACAGTATGAGAGATAAGATTGTAAACTGTGAGATTTGACAGCCTTGAAGATACAACTGTTTAAAAAAATCAGACGAAAAATGTAATAGTACAACTTAAAAGGCACATCTGGGGTCAGATCCATACTAGGTTCACAATTGTGTAACATCTGGGGTCAGATGTGTGCTAGGTTTACACAATTGTCTAACATCTGGGGTCAGATGCATGCTAGGCTAAACAAATGTGAACCTGTAAAGACAAACTTTTCTTCTAATTGTCACAAAATATCAGCGATTTATGTTGGCACTGAAAACTGTGACTCGTCTGGAATCTAAACAATCAAAAACTGATTCATCTACAAGCAAGCCATCAAAACAACTTGAGCCATCTACACTTTAGACAATCAAAAACTGATTCATCTACAAGCTAGTAATCAAAACAACTTGAGCCATCTACACTTAAGACAATCAAAAATCTTTTATATTATTGCAGAATTATTGTTCACAGAAATAGACATAATTACGTAACAAAAGGATATTCAACATTTAAAAAAGGCTGCCATTAATGTTCTCTTGCCTGATAGAAGAGTAGTAATAGGGAAATTGTACCTCACCAGGACATCACACAAGCGATAAACACTTGGTGACACAAAGTGCCACCATACTGATAAGGTTTACCCGTGGATAGGTCCCGGAAACCCCTTTCAGCCGTTTAGGCCATATTTATGGCCCTGACAAAAGCCAGGGTGGGGCCTCAAATAAAGAAATAATGCATCCCACATGGGGACGGCTATGATAATTGATGAGTGAAGTCTAGTTCCATA